GGTGTGTTGGTTACGAGGGCATTTGAGAAGGGGAAGTCTGAGTAACTTGTAATAAGGAAATATGAAAAAGCAATTGCAATGATATTTATTTAAAGAATTATAGTCGAATGTATAACTTTGTTATGTATTTTGAATATATGTAGTAATAAAGAACTATTATTATACATATATACGTACCTGTTTCTTATAATGATCGATACCTTTATATATACAGTATGGTATATACATATATAATAATGCTAAGCTATAATCATTCAAGCTATTCAAATTAGCCTATAGCTATATATAAACTTTTTTTTTAAGAATTTTTGCTTTACATATGATGTTGTATTTGTTCGTAACAGTTAAGTGTGAGTCTCAAAGCCTTCAACAATATTATCAGATGTCTTGTTTGAGATAGATGATTGTTTTATATTTCAAGAGCTTTTACAACAAGCTGATGTTGAATATAAGAGTGATGAGATAGTTAAAGTTGAGATTTGCTGTATAAGAAGCAAGCAATATAACACGATTGCATTAGGAGTTAAATGTAGTTTAGCACTATACTGAAAAGATAAAAGAAATGTATCACATATATGATTTACAATTAAAGATAGATCCTTTCAATTGACAAGTTTTAATAATTCTAACAATTAACAAAATACATTTAATATTATAATGGAATAGTCAATGTAACATCTTCTTTTTCTACCAAAATCTGGTAATACAAAATGTGATAAATTATATAATAATGTTCTTAGCATCTTACAAAAAAAAGTTTATGGGTAGTTAGACGAAAAAGAAACTACTATAGGCAAACAATTTTTAGAAAATCTTAATGCTTTACTTTGGGAGCTTGATGAACATCATGAGAAATTAAAAAATCAGAGTTGCCAAATTTCTAAATTTATTTTATCATTATCTGGGTATCAAAATAAAGAATATTATAAAAAAGGGTTTCATCACAAAAAAAGAAACTTTACAATGTTCTAAATTAGAAATATTGATTGAAGCTGTTGAAAAATGTGTAACTTAATCTTAGGCAGGAAGTGAATCATGGAATGAGTTTGTTGAAGAAGTTTTTAAATTAATTTTATGTATTCAAAAATACATTAAATATCTTGAAAGCATTAATGAAAGTGTTAATACAATTCATAATACTATGCAGCTTGCATGAAACCCATTAAATGACAGTAGTATTGAAGTTCGAATAGAGTATTTTAAACAAAATATCAAAGAATGTTATAATCTATTAGCCAAAAAATATATAATACAAATAATTATAAAGTTATTTTGCTTGATGAATATTTGCCACAAAAAAGATATGAAAGACATATTTTTATTAAGAACTTATAATTAGATACAACAATTATGCTTTATCGATACTATTATAGCAATTATCTTGGAACTTTAAATTATATTTGGTGTGTTCCTCTTGATCCTAATGAAAGATCAGATAATTTGCAAGCAAAAACTATAATTGATATTCAAGAAAATCTTTCACATTATTTTACACGAGCAATAAGACAAAATATATTTGAAAAGGTATTATATTCTTATAACTTTTATGATAAGTTTAATATTTATTAAATTAAATAATTAAATTTATTAATTTGTTATTTATAATATTCGCTTTTAACTCAAATTACACCACATGTTTTACGGCTATTATATTATGATTTAATTGGTGATTCTAGTGCTAGTGTTTTTGAAAAGATATAGCAAATAGATGAAAGACTTAAACTTATATTAGAATTAAATAATCCAGAAATTGTTGTTGATCTTCGAGTTAATAATAGATTTAAAAGCACAAAATTTAATATATTTTGAAATGAGCTTGCAATATATTTTGAAGAGGTTAATATTTGAGTATCGCCAAAAGAAAACATGTATATTTAAAAATAGATTACTTATAAATTTTATAAGTGATCTATTTTTAAATATGCCAGTTTTCTTTTGGTGACACTTATTTAATATCTTACTTTATTTTAGTTATATTTATTTATATTATATTTAATTAATTTTAAAATAAATATATTTTAGAACACACCTGCAATTCAAGATAGACATCATAGTACTATACTTTATATACTACTTTTTCTATCTATTTGAGATTTAAAAGATATTATAATTTCAAGACTTAATCAAAAAAAGATCAAAATTTAATTAATGATTTTTTAGTTTCATCAGAACAATAGATTGCTTTACAATTTTATTCTAAAAATCTATAGGCAAAATCTAGTATAAATTATGTTGGTCGATTTGAAATTAAATATAAAATTCAAGTACGGCAACTTAGAAAATCACATCCTGATGCTCATTATTGTTATGCTATTTTTAAATATTTTCATCATTTTGCAATAAAATTTAAAGAATATAGTGTACTAATATTTTTTAATGATAAACACAAAGTTCCAATTGGTGAAGATATTGCAACTTCAACTGGAGTTCAAAATAAACATGTAGCAGTACCTATTTCTACTATATTAGATTCAAGTGATTATAATTTTACAAAATTATTATTAACACTATCAGTAATGTTATTAGCTGAAATACCTGAAGAGATTACAGACTCATTTTATAATAGACAAGTATTTGTATCATATAAAGATACAGTTTTTCAACCTAGTTCTGCACTTCAACATAGTACAGAATTTTACTATAATTTAAATTATTTTTATGATAGTTTTTTACCTAAAATTTTATTAATTTATACAGATAGAGGACCAGATCATAGATGCACATTTGGTTCAGTTCAAATTTTTTTAATATATCTTTTTCTTAAAAGCAATTTTGATATATTAATAGCTGCTAGAACTGCACCATATCATAGTTGGGCAAATCCAGCAGAGAGAGTTATGTCAATAGTTAATCTTGCATTACAAGATGTGGCCTTACAACATAACCAAATGAGTGAAAATTCTGAGTTAGAATTTGCACAACTTAAAACATTAGAGTTAATTCATCATAAGGCAAAAAATAATTTAAAACTAAAATTAGAATTATCAGCATCAATTAAAGATATTCAAAAAATTTTAAATGAAAGAACAATACGATTAAACTTCATGATAATTATTTTCTTACTGGTCAAACAGCAACAGATATAGAAATTAATCAGTTTTTTAAGGTATTTATTCTATAAAATTTATAATTAAAAATACAAAATTAATAATTTATATATTTAGGCTATTCATACGATTGATCCAAGTATTGAGCAAACTATGACTACATCAAATTCTTTAAAAAGTCAACAACTTTATAATGACTTCTTAAAATCACATTGCCAAATTCGAACCTATACATTTCAAATTAAAAAATGTAATAGTATAAAATGTAAAATATGTCAACCTATTCGAGTTCCAATTAATATATTTGAAAGTTTATCATATTTACCTGATCCGGAGCTCTCTACTGGTATATAAAATTGTAATATATAGCTAGCCTCTAAATATACTCAATAAAGATTAACTTTTTAACAGCATACAGTTATAAAACAATAAGAAAATGCATTGTAAAAGTTAAGTATATAATTAGATCAAAATTTGAGTGTGCATTTTAGAGAGGATAGTTATAATAAAATTAGAATTTTTTTCTGTAATTAACTATTTATTTTATTTATTTAAAATATTTTATTTAGATAAAAAGCATTTCAAAGAATTTGATAACATATATGGTAAACCAACAATCGAAAAATATAGATTATCACAACAAAAAATTACAAATGAAGAAACTTAATCTAGAATATTTATAAATACAAAAGTTCGATTGCTAGTTTGCTGTGATTTTTGTGGAAAGTATCGCTATATCTATAGTGATACATCTTTAAATAATGATTCTGAAGCAATTGCTTTTTCATATTTCCTTATTACAAGTTACTCAGACTTCCCCTTCTCAAATGCCCTCGTAACCAACACACC